ACAGAGAGTACAGGAGGGGACTGAGCACGCACCCCTGAGGGGCCCCCGTGTTGAGATCAGCGTGGCAGATGTGTTGTTACCTACCCTTACCACCTGGGGGCGGCCCGTCAGGAAGTCCAGGATCCAGTTGCAGAGGGAGGTGTTTAGTCCCAGGGTCCTTAGCTTAGTGATGAGCTTTGAGGGCACTATGGTGTTGAACGCTAAGCTGTAGTCAATGAATAGCATTCTCACATTGTCCAGGTGGGAAAGGGCAGTGTGGAGTGCAATAGAGATTGCATCATCTGTGGATTTGTTGGGGCGGTATGCAAATTGGAGTGGGTCTAGGGTTTCTAGGATAATGGTGTTGATGTGAGCCATGACCAGCCTTTCAAAGCACTTCATGGCTACAGATGTGAGTGCTATGGGTCGGTAGTCATTTAGGCAGGTTATCTTAGTGTTCTTGGGCACAGGGACTATGGTGGTCTGCTTGAAACATGTTGGTATTACAGACTCAGTCTGGGACCTGTTAAAAATGTCAGTGAAGGCAGTTGGTCAGCGCATGCTCGGAGTACACGTCCTGGTAATCCGTCTGGCCCTGCGGCGTTGTGAATGTTGACCTGCTTAAAAGTCTTACACACATCGGCTACAGAGAGCTTGATCACATAGTCATCCGGAACAGCTGATGCTCTCATGCATGCTTCAATGTTGCTTGCCTCGAAGTGAGCATAGAAGTGATTTAGCTCGTCTGGTAGGCTTGTGTCACTGGGCAGCTCGTGGCTGTGCTTCCCTTTGTAGTCTGTAATAGTTTTCAAGCCCTGCCACATCCGACAAGCGTCAGAGCCGGTGTAGTACGATTCAATCTCAGTCCTGTATTGCCTCTTTGCCTGTTTGATGGTTCGTCGGAGGGCATAGCAGGATTTCTTATAAGCGTCCGGGTTAGAGTCCCGCTCCTTGAAAGCGGCAGCTATACCATTTAGCTCAGTGCTGATATTGCCTGTGATCCATGGCTTCTGGTTGGGGTATGTACGTACGGTCACTGTGGGGATGATGTCATTGATGAAGCCAGTGACTGATGTGGTGTACTCCTCAATGCTATCGGAAGAATCCCATAGTCCCTGTGCCCAAGAACACTAAGATAACCTGCCTAAATGACTAACTCTGTGTTGTTGTTTTTATCGCACTGCTTTGCTTTATCTTGGCCAGGTCGCAGTTGTAAATGAGAACTTGTTCTCAACGGGCTTACCTGGTTAAATAAAGGTGAAATAAATAAAAATAAATATTCCAGTCTGTGCTAGCAAAACAGTCCTGTAGCTTAGCATCTGCGTCATCTGACCACTACCTTATTAACTGAGTCACTGGTGCTTCCTGCTTTAGTTTTTGCTTATAAGCAGGAATCAGGAGGATAGAGTTATGGTCAGATTTGCCAAATGGAGGGCGAGGGAGAGCTTTGTACGCGTCTCTGTGTGTGGAGTAAAGGTGGTCTAGAGTTTTTTTTCCCTCTGGTTGCACATTTAACATGCTGGTAGAAATTAGGTTGAACGGATTTAAGTTTCCCTGCATTAAAGTCCCCGGCCATTAGGAGCGCTGCCTCTGGATGAGCGTTTTCCTGTTTACTTATGGCCTTATACAGCTCATTGAGTGCAATCTTAGTGCCTGCATCGGTTTGTGGTGGTAAAAAGACAGCTACGAAAAATATAGATGAAAACTCTCTAGGTAAATCGTGTGGTCTACAGCTTATCATGAGATACTTTACCTCAGGCGAGCAAAACCTCGAGACTTCTTTAGTATTAGATTTTATGCACCAGCTGTTGTTTACAAATATACACAGACCGCCACCCCTTGTCTTACCGGAGTCAGCCGTTCTATCCTGCTGATGTAGCCTATATCCCGCCAGCTGTATGTTATCCATGTCGTCGTTCAGCCACGACTCGGTGAAACATAAGATATTACAGTTTTTAATGTCCCGTTGGTAGGATAACCGTAATCTTAGGTCGTCTAATTTATTTTCAAATGATTGAACATTGGCTAATAGGATTGATGGAAGAGGCAGTTTACTCGCTCGCCGTCGGATCCTTACAAGGCACCCCGACCTACGTCCACGATATCTCTGTCTCTTTCTCATGCGAATGACAGGGATTTGGGCCTTGTCGGGTGTCTGTAGGATATCCTTGGCGTCCGACTCGTTGATTAAAAAATCTTCGTCCAATACGAGGTGAGTAATCGCTGTCCAGATATCCAGAAGCTCTTTTTGGTCATAAGAGACAGTGGCAGAAACATTATGTACAGAATAAATTACAAATAACGCGAAAAAACACACATAATATTACAATTGGTTAGAGGGCTGTAAAACGGCTGCCATCTTCTTTGGCGCCATCTTCAGCCTAGGCGTATAGCCTATAGTATAGCCAAGGATAATTTTATTCAGACCACACTAGGTGCACTTGATATTGTGCACCCAGCAGAGAATCAGGGATGAGGGGCATCATTGGGCACTCATCTAGATACTATAATAATCAACTAATTCTCAAACCCTGAGCAATATGACATTTAATCAATTACAAATTACATGACCCTCCCCTGGACTACATTTAAAAAAATACTAAACCCTCCCCCTGACTGAAATTGAAAAAGCATGACCCTCACACATTTCCCTCCAGGTAACAATTTTGTACATTTCGACCACTCCCTAAGAAGCTATTGTTGTTTCTTTATACAAAACGAACTCCACCAGTCATAGCAAAATTCTTGCTTGAGAAATTGCTCTTGCTAAGATGATATTTTTGAATGGTTTGAAAACAATGGTACTTAATTAAGGTGCTTATTTTTTACCCAGAAATGATTTGATATTGAGATTTAAAAAAAACGGCTGCAGCAGCACAAGTGACCTCTTAGACACAAGGCCAAATAGCTTTATGGTCACACAAGGCCCAATATTTTCTCGATTCAGAAATCATTGAAGTCAAATAAACATAATTTGTTAATGATCATGCATTTTTATTTAATTGAAGGTAAATTAGACTACTGAATTAGCAGTCTCGTGTCATAATTTGAGATTGTAATAATTTCCTGCAAGAGCAATATTGTTTATCATAATCAAACATGAATCAAACGCATATTTTTTCTGTGAAGTGTCAAGATTTCTCAAACATAAACAGTCAATAATAAAACTAACGTAGTTGGTAGTGGTCACTTCTGTTCAATCAAACATCTACTTTCAGAGCATATCCCCAAGGTGAACTAGCTATGGTTATCATTCAGCTACGTTGCTCCATAAATCTGCGGGAGGAAAGATCCTCAAGATCTGACTTGTAGTTGGCTGGTTTTTAATGTCAAATGCTGCGTTCAAGTGCTAGTCGGAACTAGAAACGCAGAAATGTGCGACTTTCTAACTGGTTGAACGCGGCTCGTGTATAACTACAATGTCAGAGTTTCCTTGTTCCGACTAATACTAGAACATGGCATATGGTAGTAGGCGCTTCATTGGTGACGTGTCTTTACAGAGCTTTCTTTTCAGTGCGGAGAGGCTAGATGGTGCCACGCGAACTGTGCTGATCCTTCAAGTGGCACCAATTTAACACAACAGGAATCGGATCAAGGACACCATGGGCAGTGAGTGATTTTTCCAACTTCTATGTATGTTCATGTACCTGTGAACTGCATATGACATTTATCTTAGAAATATTTAACTTTGCTAGGAATGGATATGTAGCTATGAAGCTGTAATGCTAACATCAGCTGTAGCTAACGTTGTTACTCTAGCTGGCTAACTAGTAACAGCTAGTTATTGTGCGTCCTTAGCTAACATTTGCTAATCTGTGTTACATACATCACCATTTACTTATCAATGAACTGTTAAATAAAGCTTGCAAAATATTCCATTGTGATTTAGCTAGGTAGCTAATGTTAGTTACAATACTAACGGAATTGGCAGCTAACGATAAAGCCAAGGAAGGCAGGACTAGTAGTTAGCTAGCTACTGTAACCTTAGTAAGCCAGACTCGAGGGCCCATCAATTGTTGCTGTTGGCCCTTGTTTGGGGCATTTAGATTGCTGTGTGCATCTACAACATTATCTACCCTCTACAGTCTTGGTGTCATCCTTATAGGAACTGTAACACCGTCTTTGCAATGAATGTGACAGTAACTGTTATCATCATGACTGTAGTTTGCTTCTAGCTCGCTCATTGATTTGAATAAGCCAGTGCATTGCCAATGAATGTCAATTTCTTTGAGCCTAGCTATCTACAGTAACAGTAGTTAACCTTATTTCTATTGCCTCTTTTAATATACTCTCATAATTATCTATAAGACCACTAGTTTGTCCCCACTTACAATATAACTAGTTAGCTAGATTGAATAGCTAGCAGGACTAGCTTCGTTACCTTGTTAGTGAGTCGAACCAACTTTTTGCATGTGTGGGAGTGATGACGTTTCATCCTGACAAAGTTTGAGTATAATAATATAATATGCCATTTAGCAGATGACTTACAGTCATGCGTGCATTTTTTTTTTTTTGGTGTATGAGCTGTAGAATCATGTAATAATAATTACACTTTTATAGCGCTTTTCATTACAGACAGAATCTCAAAGCGCTTGTTTAGCAAAATAAACAACAAGAAGTAATTTAAAAATAAATATAGGCTACAACAGTAGCTAGCTAGATCAAGTCCGTTTGAGTGCTTGGGCAGCCTTGGTCATGAGATGATCATAGCTAGATGGTAGTCGGAGGTGGTGGTCAGGTCAGCATGTCCAAGGGCAGGCATCTCGATGTCATCAGGGCGTCTCCGCTGTTTGCAGGTTCTCTGTATTGGGACTCTGTGATGAAGTTTTAGCTCCCCACAAAGTACAACCCACTCCTTACTTCAGAAGTATCCTCCTACCTATGTATGTAGACCTACCTCACTGTTCAGCATAATGTCATTCACTGGTTAAGACTTTATATTACTGTATGTTAAATCACTGATGTATAATGTAGTTTTTGTCCAAAGAAACTAACCAATGTCCTCTTGTTTTTTTCCAGTCAAATTTTTGGAAGTCATAAAGCCGTTTTGTGCGGTCTTACCTGAGATTCAGAAACCAGAGAGAAAGGTATAGTATAGTATACTGCAATTTCTCCGCAATAGCTCTTTAACAATCTTAGCTCTAGTGATGTCTCTCTAAAATGTCCCTCATTTACCTCTACAGATTCAGTTCAGAGAAAAAGTACTATGGACTGCCATCACTCTCTTCATCTTCCTGGTGTGCTGCCAGGTTAGTATCTGCCGGCCTGAAAATCTGTTTCTCAGTGTAATTCTATCTATTGTATGGCGCTTGCAAAGAAACCCTGCAGCCCAAATCAAATCACATTTTATTTGTTACATGCTTCGTATACAACCGGTGTAGACTAACAGTGAAATGCTTATTTACTTTCCCAACAATGCAGAGAGAAAAATATATTTAAAAAAATAACATGAGGAATAATGCACATTTTCTCTCACCAGCTGATAATATAGTTAAGGCCAGAGGTGCAGTTGTAGCTCTTGTGGGTTCAGTGTATTGATTCATTCTTTGTCTTCTGTCCTCTAGATTCCCCTCTTCGGCATCATGTCCTCAGACTCCGCAGATCCCTTCTACTGGATGAGAGTAATCCTGGCCTCCAACAGAGGTGAGAAACCAACAGTCTGGTTCTACTTAGTTTGAATGCTTGCCTGTATCTTATCATCAGTCATATTGATAAACAGCTCTCAATCTTGGCTACTGATCTTGTTTGAACACATCCCTATTATACTTTCGCTGTTTGTTCCTACCTCTTACATGGATAAATAATTATTCCCTGTGATGTTATCAGGTCTTATCTCTTTTGACAAGCAGTCTTGGCAAGAGCTGACATTCTTTGGCTGATTTGTCACTGTATTCATAGCTTAGCCTTAGTATAATCCTCTTTCCCATTACAAGTGTTGGTTCATAATAATAGTTGACTGAAAACAGTACTGTGATCCCACCATTCTACAGGTACTCTGATGGAGCTGGGTATCTCACCCATCGTTACCTCCGGTCTCATCATGCAGCTGCTGGCTGGAGCCAAGATCATTGAGGTTGGAGACACCCCCAAGGACAGAGCACTCTTCAATGGAGCGCAGAAACGTATGTCCACCCTACAAAGTTTTTACCAAGAATGGGATTAATCATAATGAGATAAGTGATGGTTATTTAACCACCTGACAACTGTTCTCTGAGTTGTGGGCTTGTATGTGGTGGGTAGTCGAATAAGGGTCTATAGCCTGTCATAAAGCTGGGGTGTATTCCGTTTTTCATCGTCAATCAACTCATAGCTGTCCAAGGATATTGAATATATACGTAAAAATGTATGCACGCATGACTGTAAGTCGCTTTGGATAAAAGCGTCTGCTAAATGGCATATTATTATTTATATTATATACAACCCATCTCCCTTTGTCCTCTGCAGTGTTTGGAATGATCATCACCATTGGACAGTCCATCGTGTATGTGATGACCGGCATGTACGGAGACCCCTCAGAGATGGGTGCTGGGATCTGCCTGCTCATCATCATTCAGGTTAGTTAGACCCCCCCCCCCCCCCCCCCCCCCCCCCCCACCACTACACTTAATACTACCACTACCACACTCTCTGTAATGGTTGAAACCCTAGGGATAATGGTCATGAGTGAACTGGACAGTTCATATAAACAGTTCATTAATTTGACCCTTTTAAGTACAGAGACATTTCTAACTTTCACTACTTAAACCCCTGGCTGCCATTTCTCTAATCTTTCAATCAGCGATGCTCAGCTTTCATCCGCCTGGTCAGACTGTATTTGAAGCTCTCTTGTCCCTCTCTTTCTTCCCCAGCTTTTTGTGGCAGGTCTGATTGTGCTGCTGCTGGATGAGCTGCTGCAGAAGGGCTATGGTCTGGGCTCTGGTATCTCCCTGTTCATCGCCACTAACATCTGTGAGACCATCGTCTGGAAGGCTTTCAGCCCCACCACTGTCAATACTGGCAGAGGTATGTATACTGGCCTTACTGCTACCTGTAAGTGTATTGACAATGTACTCATTCTCTTGTTTTTCAGTCAGGGTTGCTCCCCCTTCTGTTCTGTGGTTGGTTGAGTAACCTTGTCTTTTGTGTCTCAGGAACGGAGTTTGAAGGTGCCATCATTGCCCTGTTCCACCTGTTGGCCACACGCACAGACAAGGTGCGCGCCCTGAGAGAGGCCTTTTACCGCCAGAACCTGCCTAACCTCTTGAACCTCATCGCCACTGTCTTCGTCTTTGCTGTAGTCATATACTTCCAGGTCAGTGGACAGACAACCCCCTCTATAGTTGTAGCCTATATCAACTTGGCTGTCTTTTGATTGGTTTTACAAATTGCTTTCAATTCAATGCTTAAAGCTGAAATCCGTAAATGGGAAACAACGCCACGGTTCGCTACAGCGCCTTTATTGTTTTTGTTTAGTTGATGAAATGGAGGAAAGGAGTGTCCAGCAGTGTGGTAAAACAATTAGTGTGCATATTCTGGTGTTCTATCAAATGTGCAATGATGTCCGAAGGAAATAGTGTTTGTTTGAAGTAACTTTTTTGTTGTTGTAATATCCCAAAGAGATGTGACAGTTTTCCCCTTTACGGATTTCAGCTTTAAGTGACCTATGATATGACCATTGGATCTGTTGACAATGTGAACATAAATGGTCAGACCAAAAACCTGAATGCATAGAATGATTGAACACCAACTTTAAATACAGTGGGGGGAAAAAAAGTATTTAGTCAGCCAACAATTGTGCAAGTTCTCCCACTTAAAAAGATGAGAGGCCTGTAATTTTCATCATAGGTACACGTCAACTATGACAGACAAAATGAGGGAAAAAAATCCAGAATATCACATTGTAGGATTTTTAATGAATTTATTTGCAAATTATGGTGGAAAATAAGTATTTGGTCAATAACAAAAGTTTCTCAATACTTTGTTATATACCCTTTGTTGGCAATGACACAGGTCAAACGTTTTCTGTAAGTCTTCACAAGGTTTTCACACACTGTTGCTGGTATTTTGGCCCATTCCTCCATGCAGATCTCCTCTAGAGCAGTGATGTTTTGGGGCTGTCGCTGGGCAACACGGACTTTCAACTCCCTCCAAAGATTTTCTATGGGGTTGAGATCTGGAGACTGGCTAGGCCACTCCAGGACCTTGAAATGCTTCTTACGAAGCCACTCCTTCGTTGCCCGGGCGGTGTGTTTGGGATCATTGTCATGCTGAAAGACCCAGCCACGTTTCATCTTCAATGCCCTTGCTGATGGAAGGAGGTTTTCACTCAAAATCTCACGATACATGGCCCCATTCATTCTTTCCTTTACACGGATCAGTCGTCCTGGTCCTTTTGCAGAAAAACAGCCCCAAAGCATGATGTTTCCACCCCCATGCTTCACAGTAGGTATGGTGTTCTTTGGATGCAACTCAGCATTCTTTGTCCTCCAAACACGACGAGTTGAGTTTTTACCAAAAAGTTCTATTTTGGTTTCATCTGACCATATGACATTCTCCCAATCCTCTTCTGGATCATCCAAATGCACTCTAGCAAACTTCAGACGGGCCTGGACATGTACTGGCTTAAGCAGGGGGACACGTCTGGCACTGCAGGATTTGAGTCCCTGGCGGCGTAGTGTGTTACTGATGGTAGGCTTTGTTACTTTGGTCCCAGCTCTCTGCAGGTCATTCACTAGGTCCCCCCGTGTGGTTCTGGGATTTTTGCTCACCGTTCTTGTGATCATTTTGACCCCACGGGGTGAGATCTTGCGTGGAGCCCCAGATCGAGGGAGATTATTAGTGGTCTTGTATGTCTTCCATTTCCTAATAATTGCTCCCACAGTTGATTTTCTTCAAACCAAGCTGCTTACTTATTGCAGATTCAGTCTTCCCAGCCTGGTGCAGGTCTACAATTTTGTTTCTGGTGTCCTTTGACAGCTCTTTGGTCTTGGCCATAGTGGAGTTTGGAGTGTGACTGTTTGAGGTTGTGGACAGGTGTCTTTTATACTGATAACAAGTTCAAACAGGTGCCATTAATACAGGTAACGAGTGGAGGACAGAGGAGCCTCTTAAATAAGAAGTTACAGGTCTGTGAGAGCCAGAAATCTTGCTTGTTTGTAGGTGACCAAATACTTATTTTCCACCATAATTTGCAAATAAATTCATTAAAAATCCTAAAATGTGATTTTCTGGAGAAAAAAATTCTCAATTTGTCTGTCATAGTTGACGTGTACCTATGATGAAAATTACAGGCCTCTCTCATCTTTTTAAGTGGGAGAACTTGCACAATTGGTGGCTGACTAAATACTTTTTTTCCCCACTGTACCATTGACTCTCCGTAGTTGTTTGAAAGGTCTTGAACACTTCTCTCCTCTTCCTTCCAGGGCTTCAGGGTGGACCTGCCCATCAAGTCTGCCCGTTACCGTGGCCAGTACAACACCTATCCCATCAAGCTCTTCTACACCTCCAACATTCCCATCATCCTCCAATCTGCCCTCGTGTCCAACCTGTACGTCATCTCTCAGATGCTCTCCACGCGATTTAGCGGCAACTTCCTGGTTAACCTGCTGGGCACCTGGTCTGTAAGTACCTATCAGAATGACCTTCGAGTGCTGCTTTAGTGTCCACCACACAGAGGAAGACTTGCCTTACTAACTTTCATTACACCAGTACTATTTAAAATGCACATACTTGGTTATTTTATCGCATCACATTTAAACCTTCATGAGTTCAACAGTACTGAATACTTCTATGTGACGTCTAGTCATGGGTGACCGTAAACAACAAAGAGTCTATTTGAAGCCATAATGGGGTTATGATCACGTTTTGGACTACTATGTAAGAACACTGGGAGGGTTGACATAATTAAATATTTCATTTCAGCAGGCCTGTGTAAGCGGGCTAGCCTTTGGCAGGTTTTACTCAAATCTATACATCGTGTATTAACTGTATGTGTGGTTGTTTGTGTATAGGATACTTCCACTGGAGGACCAGCTCGTGCCTACCCGGTTGGAGGTCTCTGCTACTTCCTCTCTCCCCCGGAGTCCTTTGGTTCTGTTCTGGATGACCCCGTCCATGCTGCAATCTACATAGTCTTCATGCTGGGTTCCTGTGCCTTCTTCTCCAAGACATGGATCGAGGTTTCAGGGTCCTCTGCCAAAGATGTGAGTCACTTGATGCACCAGATATATTTGCTCAATATGTTATAGATGTACTTTAGGTTGTGTACAGTGAAGTATGTATGTATGGTAGTTTCTAACTCAGGTCTGTATGTCCGACAGGTGGCTAAGCAGCTGAAGGAACAGCAGATGGTGATGAGGGGACACAGAGAAACCTCCATGGTGCATGAGCTCAACAGGTAAAAACATATGCACCTTTGGTTGCACTCTGGCCCAAGTGTCAAAAATTATTGGTGTGTATACCTTTCTACACATTTCTAATATCTTGTGTTCTGTGTGAAGGTACATCCCCACGGCTGCAGCCTTCGGTGGCCTATGCATAGGTGGGCTGTCTGTCATGGCTGACTTCATGGGCGCCATCGGTTCGGGTACTGGAATCCTATTGGCTGTCACCATCATCTACCAGTACTTTGAGATCTTCGTCAAGGAGCAGAGTGAAGTGGGAAGCATGGGCGCGCTGCTTTTCTAGAAACCCCCCTCCAACACATACCACAGACAGACAGCCTCCACCCTCCACAAATTCTTACTTTTTATTTTGCATTGTATCTAATGCGCACAAATCAGTACATTCTGCCTCTGGGATGCATCTTCTTTCTCAGCTTCTTTGTGTTCCCAGTAGCTCTTGAGGGTTCAAATGCAGACTGGATCTCATTGGGGAAAGAATGTTAGCATTTGTCCCAGTGTTCAGAATGGAATTGCACCTGTTCTGTCCCATTGTTGTTTTTTCAATACCATTACTGTCCTCTCTTGATCTGACCAGCCAGGCTACTCTGCTGACTGTCATCTCCTATAGACAGGTTAAAAGCACAAAGGTCTGACATGATGTCGTTGTCTGACATCAAGCGAGGTTGGCTGAAGCGTGCTCAAGGAAATTGAAGGCTGAGACACCATCTAAAGGAGTCTGCTTAAACTAACACAAGCACTACACCTGGACATTTTTGGAGAGTGGAAAGAAAGCCATGTCATGTTCATTTCAGGTCATCGCAAGCTGTGCATGGATTTTGAAGAGCCACATATTGGGGTGAAAAAATATAAGTTAAATATACTTGTACATGTATTGTATTCCTTAAATGGCTCTGGAAATTTCCAACAAGTCTTGTCATTTTATATATTTTTTTAAATCATGGAATATATTTGTATTCGTGCTGGTCTTAGCAAGGGCATATGTTTGTGCTTTTGTCTCTGAGTCCTAAAGGGAAGGGTTTGTCTGTGTTGTCGTGGTCTTTTATTCCCAGACTGAATCGCTGCAGATAGTTCCTAGACGTGGTTGGGTGGGTTTGGTAGGGAGGGAAAGGGGTTTCATTTTTTTGGTTTTTACTTTCTGTATTGGACATAATTGTATTATTAAAAAAAACAAGTGTTTTTTTCCCAACACTCAAGTTAAATTAACTTATTTCATAATGTTATACACCATGCCACCCACAGAGAGAAACCATTGCAGCGACTCCAAATAAAACGCTACTATGGACAGGGCCTATGTCTTTGTTTAGGCCAATGTTTTTCAATAACAGCTAGAAAGCATATTCTGTGTTGAATATTCACATGGCAGGAGGAGTCACTACAATATGCATCAAACCGGGTACAAACCTATATATAATTCTGTGGTACATACTGCCAACAGAGCTCAGCACAGTCAGGTTTCACTTCTCTGTGGTACAGTACTGCCAAATAGTCGTCTGGTACGCCACAGGGGTTGGTAGGAGTTGCCCCTAACCACTGGTCCAGGGTCAGATTGTTATTTTATCTTAAACCAATATTTGGGTTCGATCCCCAGGACCACCCATACACAAAAAATATATATAATGTATGCACGCATGACTGTAAGTCGCTTTGGATAAAAGCGTCTGCTAAATGGCATATTATTATTATATCTTCAAGGGGACGTGTAATCTGATCCTAGATCTACCTCGAGATGCTTTAATCACGACTGGACGCCCAGGTGACGTCATTAGTATGCGTCCAAGAGTCGAAGGATAGAGCGGTCAAAGGTAACTGCATGTCTGACAGAAGCCGGGCGATTAGTGTCATGGCAGCAGCACTAGCTGGATCCCCTATCCATATGAACACTTCCTGTTTTTGGAATGTTGTTTTAAAAATAAAAGTCCGATTGAAAACACTGATACGAAATCAATATTTTTTTGCAGATTTGCATAATGTAACAAAATATGAATAACTACATGGGGAAAATCTAAACTAAAGACAATTACTACTTTATATAAGAAATATTAAGGTGAAGCACATTGAGAAATGGTTGGAGCTAAAGTAAGTGAATGTCAAAACATAATAATAGCCTACTGGTTTTCATAGAGCTAGCGATTTCCTCGTCTGATAAACCTCTACCTCAACTTTCTGTCTCTAAGTGGTAGTATTCATTTCCATTATTTGGGGTGTCTGATATTTGATTGAGCTGCACCACTGACACTTCCTCATACGAAATCTTGGCTACATCAGGATGAAAATCAGAAGCAGGTTATTTATCCTTAAGTGTGTACATATTGCATATTAAGTTAGCAGTCTGAGGTCTTCTCTGAGCAGTTGACATTCCCTAATTTAAACTCTGTATTATTCAGAGCCGCATGAAATGACACCATATATACATTATACAGACCCTACTGAGTATTCCCTAACATACTTTTACTGCACACCTAGAATAGTTTGTGCTCTATAAACCAATATGTATTCCATATAGAGTGATTCCCATTGTGGCCAATGAAATGGGTGGAGTAAAAGGCCAGCAACACTCCGTATTATTCAGAGCCCCATGAAATGACACCATATATACATTCTACAGACCCTACTGAGTATTCCCTACAATACTTTTACTGCGCACCTAGAATAGTTTTTGCTCTATAAGCCAATATGTATTTCATATACAGTGATTCGCATTGGGGTCATTTATTTGACCTTGTAACATGTTTTAAAACCCAAATTTAATGCAAATTTCACTTTTACATGAACAAATATGAATAATTGTTAATAAATACAGGCCATTGACACTTTTCTACTTTTACGTGGGGGACTTTAATTTAGAAACGTTTCGAAATTCCGTGACCCGGAAGTACCTTTTAAGTGTTGCTGACAAGACATTGATAGCCGGGCGGTTATTAAATGACTGCACAGCTGCTAATTGTTCGACAAAAACCGTCGTTGCTTGTAAGACAAGTAGAGGACTGACGGATATTACCACCGGCAGTCATGTCGTACTGCAAGCAAGAGGGTAACGTTAATGGCGCACATCCTCACATTTTCATTCATTTCGCTCGTGCAATGTCATTGACGGGGCTAGCATTTTAGCTAGCTACTAGTAGCATGTCAGCGTTGCTTGTTCCAGCTTTATTGGTGCAGTAATTCCTTGTAGATTGCCAGTTATAGGTTCAACGAGGTCTATAAATAGGGCAATCAGATAATTATCTCAGTATTCATCCGATTTGTAGAGGTAGCTAGCTAGGCTATTAGTAGTGCGAGACGAGAGCATCAGCTTCCATGCTAGCTAGCCAGATACTAGCTAGCAAGGCTAGAGGACTTTCTTTCGGAGCTGTCTAAGAGCAGTTCATGTCAGGTGACAGTTAAGTTTGTTTTATATCAGGACCCTGCTGACTTAGCACTCTGTGTGCAGAACTCTGTTGAAAAACAGCTGTTGAATTGTTAACTTAACAGACATTATGGCCAACATTAATAGCCTACTGCTTGCAATGATCCAATAGATAAATGCACTATTGTGTTTTTTGGGGGGTCAGTCAGACAATATACACAATGTGAACCATTCCTTTTTAATGGTCTCCCACTTTGATTTAAAACCAGCCTGGAGACCGGGGAGGGGAAGTGCATTTAGTATCTCATGGTCACAACTCTGTGCCTGTTGTTTCCTTGGAGATGCCATCTTCTCATGCTGACCTCTCACCTGTTTTCTCCCTGCCAGGTAAAGATCGCATTATCTTCGTTACCAAGGAAGACCATGAAGCGCCCAGCAACGCTGAGCTCATTGCAGACGACCCCAATGACCCCTACGAAGATCAGGGTCAGTGGGCTGTGGATTCTGTGAATTCATGTAGAAGGATTATGAAACTCATCAGTAGTGTAGTCATTACAAGGATACCAAAGAGGTGTATATTGAAGAATGATGAAGGTTCGCAATTACAACCATGTCAATACATTCTTATATCCCTATTCCTCTAGGCCTAATCCTGCCCAGTGGGGAGATCAACTGGAACTGTCCATGCCTGGGAGGGATGGCTAGCGGGCCCTGTGGGACACAGTTCAAGGAGGCCTTCTCCTGCTTCCACTACAGCAATGAGGAGGTGAAGGGTTCAGAGTGTATCGACAACTTCCGTGCTATGCAGGAGTGTATGCAGAAGTACCCCGAGCTCTACCCCCAGGAGGATGAGAATGAGGGAGCCACCCCAGGAGGGGCTGACGCTGCTGCCCCTCCCCCCATTGATTATACTGCACCTGCCCCCGTGCCCGCTGAGGACTCTTCCCCAGCCTCAGTGCCCTCTAGTAACTCTACCACGTCCCCACCAACACCTGAGTATGCCCCGTCATCCGACAATACACCACCCACAGACAGCCAGGCTGCCAGCTAAAATCACCCACCATCCCCCAGTCTCTCTCTGAAACCACTGCCGAGCACAGGCCACTCTCAGGGGAGTTCAGCTGTGTGTTCACTGGTGCCTCAGACCTGTTCTCTTCGTTTAACATTCATCACAAAGGATAATGACTTTAAAGGGGGCCTAGTACTGCAGAGGAGTTGTCTCTTACAGGAATATCAGTTAATGCTGTGAGAGGAGGACAATACAAAATCAATACCAATCTATTTCATAGGCTTTATTGTAGTGGTTGTTGAGCTCCTGAGGTTCCTACAGTGCCGAGTTTGTGGGGTGGTTTGCTGCAGAGGACTACAGTTAAGACTCGCAACCAACATTTTATGCTGCTTATCAAGCTTCAAATCAGATATATTGTGCCATTCTGCGTTAATGCTACACTGGAGGTGTGTAACCTACTGTCAATGTTACTGGTCAGACTAGTTTGTGATCACTTGACTTCATGTTTGTGCTTGACGGATCATAGTAAGCGATTGAGCTAGTATTAAAGCTTGATTACTCTTGTGTACTCAATTGCTGGCCAAAGATCATGTGACATGTCTGTTTTTCCACTTAAGTTTTGTCAAAAGTCCTGAACGTCGCTGGTGGCAGCAAGGTTTTCCACCAGTCTGTATTTTTCAGTTAAATCTGAGTTTTAGCACACAGCCTACATTACCTCACTATTATTTAATTGATTTTTCCATCTAATGACCACCCTTCATAAGATATACCCTAAGAAAGTGGAAATCCATTGTGTCTATGCAATAATTTCCTCTTAAGGAGAGAATGAAACACTGCGAGCCTTGGGTTTGTTTATGGGGTGCATAATGCAGTCTCCATGGAAGAGAGAGGTTGGAAATGTATTGGACAGTGACACTACTAATCAGAGGGGAGCTTTGGAACACTGGGGCTGAATCCTAACTTGAGATGTGTGTTTATAATGCACACTTTTATGCAAATCGCAATAACATCAATACATGATTTATGTGAACATCTGAGATGTAATGTGTGTAAATCTCAGGATTTGGGCCTTTGAGATACTTTTGGTCATGTAGTGTATGTGGACACCTGCTCGTCGAACATTTCATTCCAAAATCATGGGCAAAGGTGTTCGATGGGGTTGAGGTCAGGGCTCTGTGCAGGCCATTCAAGTTCTTCCACACCGATCTCGACAAACCATTTCTGTATGGACCTCAACAAAGTTGGAAGCACAGAATCGTCTAGAATGTCATTGTATGCTGTAGCGTTAAGATTTCCCTTCACTGGAGCTAAGGGGCCTAGCCCGAACCATGAAAAACAGCCCCAGACCATTATTCATCCTCCACCAAACTTTACAGTTGGCACTATACATTGGGGCAGGTAGCATTCTCCTGGCATCCGCCAAACCCATATTCGTCCGTCGGACTGCCAGATGGTGAAGAGTGATTCATCACTCCAGAGAATATGTTTCCACTGTTCCAGAGTCCAATGGCGCAGAGTTTTACACCACTCAAGCCAACGCTTGGCATTGCGCATGGTGATCTTAGGCTTGTGCGCAGCTGCTCGGCCATGGAAACCCATTTCATGAAGCTCCCGAAGAACAGTTATTGTGCTGACGTAGCTTCCAGAGGCAGTTTGGAACTCGGTAGTGAGTGTTGCAACCGAGGACAGACTATTTTAACGCACTTCAGCACTCAGTGGTCCCGTTCTCTGAGCTTGTTTGGCCAACCACTTCACGGCTGAGCCGCTGTTGCTCCTAGACGTTTCCACTTCACAATAACAGCACTCACAATTGACCGGGGCAGCTCTAGCAGGGTAGAAATATAACGAACTGACTTTTTGGAAAGGTGGCATCCTATGACGGTGCCACGTTGAAAGTCTGAGCTCTTCAGTAAGGCCATTGCATGGCTGTGTGCTCGATTTTATACCTGTCAGCAATGGGTATGGCTGAAATAGCCGAATCCACTAATTTGAAGAGGTGTCCACATACTTTTGTGTATGTAGTGTATGACTTTTCGGGTTAGAGGCCTCAGGTCCTAGAAGGCCGGATATGTTTGGTGCTGGCTGCTTTTATCAACAACTCTTGTTCTGATGAAGAAAGGCTGGTGAGTACATACAGTAGCATCCACTCATAAGTGCTAGGCAATCATTGAATGAAAACAATTTTGTCAATGATGAAATTGTACAAAGCCTGAGTAACCATCCACAGTGAAGAAGGCACTTCCTTCACCTGCTTTTAAAACATGTAATTTAAGCCTTAATGGACTGGTACTCTATTTAACCTCCTGATTAAATATCATACTGAACCATGTCTCATTTCCTATTTCTAATCATATGTTTAAATACTGTTCAAGCACAAATGAATTTAGGTCTTCATATATACGACTGGACCATGATGCTTTGAGAGTGTTTCTTCCTCAGGGATCCTGAGTTCATTCTTTGGTAAAACTGCACCACACACATTGAGCCTTGGATTAAGATATTAGCTACATTTCCGTAACACTTACATTTTCTAAGGTTTATCTTTTGATGTACTTTGTAGGCCATATTTGTTGAGGAAAATAAGATGGCGATGGCTGGGACATGTGTAGACTTAGATTACCACCAGACCTGCACCCTGTGATTGCACTACGCTGAAGAGAGACATAGAGAAGAACAATAGAAAATAAGTTGGGAGTGTGGCCTGACCACACCAAGAAGGCTGCAGACTGGAGCAGTGCACTCTCTTGTAGATGCCTTATGTGCCTCAATATTTAAGTAAGTAGGTGTATTTTTTGCATTTTAATTGGAACATTTCAAATGAAAAATAAATGATTGGAATTGGATTCTGAGAAATATATAGTACACTAAAAGCAGAGACCGCACTGGAATGTAATGTATTGAGACAGAACCTAGCATCATTTTGATGTTTTTATCATTTATAAAAGGCATGGCTTTTGACATACAAAGTCTGTAAAGCTTGTATACCAGGGTTTGTTGTGTCCAATAGTTCACACTGGCTTGCAGAAAAGGTCTCAAATACGACCACCCATAACCACCCAAACATTCATTGGATTCCAGAAGGATGCTTTTTTCTGTCTAGTTAAATCATCTTAATAAGATTGGCTCAGAAGATTCCAGTCCATCCACTTTGTATCGTATGGCAGGGTTGTAGTCTTATATGGGCAAGATCTTCCATAGAAGTCCTTGGTCAAGACACTTGGCAAAGACTTGTCCATTGAGTTTAAGTCCCTTTCCTGAATGATCTATTGAACCAGTGATTCCCTTGGTCCATTTCCATTCAAATTGATCTGTTATGGGTTTGGAGAGGGTGTTCGGGGCAGCCCTGTCTTAGGCCCTCTGATATGTGGGCCCCCAGTTGGGGGGTCCAGGGAACCACCACACTCTGCATGGTGACCAGCAGCCGCTCCGTCCCTGCCTCCTCTTGACCCGCCAGCAGGTACTCCACACCTGGAAGAAGAGGGAGAGGAGAGAGTTCAGCATCAATCTTGTTTAGAAGAACATATATCAGAGTTAACAGAGTAGCTACCAACCTTGTGGAAAAATAAGGACGATATTTAGAACATACTGAATATAGTCGCACAATACTCTGTTCAGTGTATATGTTGGGCTACCTGGATTAAGGATGGGGCAGGTGCACCCCCGGCTAGTCCAGGATAGGGGGTAGAGACTGTGGGTGCCCTGGGAGAGGGGCACCTGTCCTGACCGCAGGACCTTGCGAACTTTGACTTGTACCTCTGCGTAGCTCCCCTTGTCATAAGCCGACAACACACTGGCTTTGATCACTGCCACAAACACACGGAGACATATACATCACTGAAAAAGTGAGAGGTACATTAAAGTAATGTAGGATGTGTACAGTATGTGAGAACCTTGGGAAATAGTTTACCATAGGCATATTTGGTCTTGCAGAGATCTGAGACACTCCTCAACTTTCTCTCCTTACAGCTGCATTTCCCTGGAAAGAGCCATAGACAGTGTCAGCAGCACATTAATATGTTTACTCAAACCCATGACGGCAAGCATTAAGTAGTGTGTGGTGCATAACTCTAATGCTAGTGTGCATCATCATTCACCTGTGTAGTGCATGGCAGAGACTGCCAGTTGCTTTGACCACACTGTCTCGCCCTCATTGGTCAAGGCATGGTCCATGTCAGGAATCTTGCCCCCCATAGGGACATTTAAAACCTGGTTATTTGCATAGCTGATGAAGTGACAACGAGAACACAGAGGTAAGATGTCATTGTAGAGTGAAACTGAAAAATAGGAAAGAAAGCCACATATGAAGTGTTGGATTTAGTAGAGAGAAATAGGCTTAGGGCTTACCTGTCCAGGCAGAGCCCAGTGTGGGGGTCACAGTTTTGGGGACAAGCACAGGGTTTGCACCCCTGTCCCCCAAAGCCCCAGTACCCTGGGAGGCAGTGGCTGCAGCCTGTTCCCCCCACACCAGGTCTGCAGTGGCACTGTCCACTCCTGGGGTGGCACCATGGGCCCTCCTCCCCAGAGCTGGCTGGTAATGAACCCAGTGGGTCACACCAACAACCTGTGAAAGAGGAAGAGAGAGAGAGATAAACAGAGACACATAGACTTATCAAGAACACACACATCCTCTCTCCCTTGTCTTCTCTCGCTCTATCCCCACATGCTGTTACAAATCCATACCAGTAGAGGGAGACAATAGATGTTTTAATATACATGTTTTCAGTTTCAAGCAGTGTTATACATGATGTATAACTGGAATTAACTGCCATGTGGAACAATAATGAATGTACAACAGATTAAATGTATCATCATACGTTATTCTTTATAACTTTCACTTGTCTATAGTTTGTCCTGACTTACGTGTGCAGACATGGGGGGAGTTGAGGGGTATGGCTGGTTGGCGGTGGTAACCGTGGCGACAGCGCTGGCACCTGCGCCCAGCTGTATTGTGTTGACAGTCATCACAGACGCCCCCACTGGTGCCCCCCGAGGACAGCCACGCCCTCTGGGAGAAATGACAGCTCTCTGCATGGCCGTGACACTCACACTCTGGAGCACAGGGAGACAACAACAACGGGATGGGCGAGAGGATAGATTATGAGATGACACCCAACGGTAGGGTTGCCAACACTCCCGGTTTGGCTTGGAGTCTTAACCTCCCTGCAAGTTCTACAACTTTTCCAGGAGATTTTGTTAATGTTTGAATGAAACTTAATAACTGAAATGTAAACAAGTATTTCTATAATCTCTCAACATGAGCTTGATTTGAGTTGGCAACTCAACAGGGCCTGGCCCCTCTTAGTAGGGCACTCACTATGGCACGGGTGTGGCTCCCCACTGCTGCCGTTGGCTGGCTTCCAGGACCGGTCATTGTAGAGTGGGCCACACCTCTCACAGTGTTCTCCTACTGTGTGGTGAGTGCACACACACCTGCCAGGCACCTGCAATAAACATCAGGGCTATTTAACACAAATATAAAGGACCAACATACTACTACTTCAGGGTTTTTAAAGCACACACACACACACACACACACACACACACACACACACACACACACAGGTTGAGCAGGCCACACTCACCATGTCCTTCAGTGTGTCCTGTCCGCCTCTGTGGGTTAAGCAGTGTTCTGCATGGCCATGACAGAGACAGGTCCCTCTAGCCAGGAGAGTGTAAATGGAAAACGGAGCTGAGGCAGGGGCCTCTGAGCTGGGCTGGGGGGAAGTGGAAGGGAGAAGGGGGAGATTCAGGTCCGCAGGAGGTTTGGAGAGTCCCATAGAGGAAGAAGTGGTGGAAGGTGCCACAGATAATGGGCAGGTCTGAGCCTTGAGAAGTCTGAGGCGGAGGTTGGTGAGGGTCAGCTGGGAAAGGCCCTCTGGACTGTAGGGGTCAACTAATCCACCAGGACCCAGAGTCCGAAATATCACCTGTGAGAAACATAAGGGTCTACTATATACTGTATGTCTACTGTGCTTCTAAAACTCTGCTTTTATGTTACCCCACAAAGTGCATGAGACACTCTGTCCCCTTACCTCTCCCCTGCTGCACGGCTTGGCACTGGAGTACCGGGACGTACACAGCGAGCCAGGCTGACTGGTGTCATCAGGAAGACCAAATGCCAGACTGCAGTTCTGTGCAAACAGCTTGAGTGTCTCCCACGTCCGGCCGAAGTCCTGGGAGCGCTCCATGGCCATGGCAGCGGGCCTGGGTGAGTGGAACAGCAGCACCACGTGGGTCAGACAGAAACGGGTCTCCAGGTCCAGACGGACCTCCTCCTCTTGGTCAGTGCCCATGCCCGAGGCCCACCAGGTGTCTGGGTGCAGGAAGGGATCATCCACCATGTGGACAGGCGGGTGGAGATGATCTGGACAGGTGTGGAGGGGAGTGGGGCATGGGGAGTGGTGGGACCCATTCCCACAGCAGCCTGAGAGGGTTGTGAGGGTCCTACCACTGGCCAGGTTGCCCATGGGAGGACTGCATGCAAGGTCTACACACCTGGAGGCTGAATATGGGTGGATGAAGAGAGTTAATGCAGAATAAATATAAAATAAGTGATCTCATAACTGCATATTGGCTATTTTCCCATGGGAGAGTGTCAATGCACTCATAGTGTCGGGCAGGAAAGGGAGCGATGTGCACGCGTGTATCTCAGGTTGCATCTTCCAAGGTAACCCAATAATATCAGAGTAAATCAGGCGATAGGCTACTGCGCTATCAGAGTTATCAAGAACGAGTTTCGATATTTTCCAGTCATAACTGTAAAGATAACAAGGCAGATAACGGAACCGCCAGCTGGAGGCACGGTGGCACTGTGTTCACAATTCATCCCACAATGGAATTTATTATGATACATTCCTATAATCCACTGCGTTACACTAGCGCCAAATAAAGGCGAAACCAACAGGCATTATTATGACGGACATAAATCTAACCTAATATGGGGAATTAATATATTAGGCTATTATTCATAAGAGTCATTAAATATGCATGGGTGATGAATTCCAGATATAGCCTATATTATGCCTAGCCTATTGGTGCATCCCATCATATCAAATTCATTCAAAGTGATGGACACTCACCTGTCCCGCTGTGCATGAGCGCTACAATTAAAGCGCAGTTAATCGCCAGCATCTCAAATCGAAGGCGACCTTCAAGTCGTTTCATAGGCTTTGAGAATCTCCCACTGGATGGATTATTAGCAATCCGAATTACAAGAAAACTCCCCACAGTCAAATAGTCTTCTTATTCTTGCCAGCAGTGCAGATACGCCTCAGCAGCACATGCGTTTGTTTATTCCAAAGATGAGCGCATTTCAATGAGAACGGCAAAATTCCGCATAGCCTAGCCCACATCCCTATCTATCACTTGAAGTCCAATAGAGCAGCAGTTTGATTCATCCATATGTTTTGTCTGACATCTTTAATAATGACGACGGGGAAAGGATTGTATTCGCATTCAGAGCATCAGCATTAACATTAATCAATGACAATGAAGTGTGTCCCGTACGCGGCTGGTCCATGTCTCAACGATAGAGTCTGACGATGCCGAGTCCGGACTCCTGAGCCATTACAACATTTGCCCTAGCACTACACAGCTGATTCAAATAATCAAAGCTTGATGATGAGTTGGTTATTTGAATCAGCTCTAGATTACTTTACACAGGTCAATTTACTGTGTAAATGCAGGATAGTCTGTTGGTGCTGAAATCCGTAGTTTTTATTTTACATTTACATTTTAGTCATTTAGCAGACGCTCTTATCCAGAGCGACTTTACAGTTAGTGAGTGTATACATTTTCATACTGGCCCCCGTGGGAAACGAACCCACAACCCTGGCGTTGCAAGCGCCATGCTCTACCAAACGTAATTTTATGTGAATCGTTTCTATAGTGATGCTCGATGTTAAACACATGGCCTTCAAAGTGTTGATATAGCACAGTGCTTCTATAAAATTCCCTTTCAACCACATGTAGGCCTATGTCAGGAAATGAACAGTCCATTGCTGAACTTGTTGATGCATTCCTGACCCCTGGCACTATGACACACATACCCAGTAAATGGAATAAACACCATGCCTCTTCAGTATTATGGCTCAGTGTAAATGTAAGGGGCTCAGAATTGTTGAATAGACCCACACAATTGGATTTTATTCCCATAAATGACTTTAATAACATACAAACTATTTACAGACCAGACTGATGGCATTTCCAGGCAGTGAACACAAATTGGAACCACCATGGCATAATTACGTTTATATTAAACAGAATAGCTGTACATGAAGGCCTCTATGATTTTCAGTATCTGACATATTATCATTGAGGGTAGTGGAAGGAAATCGGACATAATTGGAGAGAAATCAACTAATACAATGACATGCAAGCCTTTATGAGGCAGCTGTGGATAAGGGTGATTCCTCACAAAAAAAGACAGATATGGGGGATTTTCAGTTACACAAAATGTAATTTACATAAGGGTACTTTGGAGGAAGTATTTTTAATACATTTTCACATTCACTCTGTTGGTAATGCTTACAAATTGGATCATAACACTAAAACTAGCAGAGATCCCACTCTAGAATTCTCATATGCCCCTAGAGTATATTATGTTCAACAATATATAGGAAAATGTGCCAAATCTAAAATGGTATGTTTATATTTTTAAATATTAATATTAATTATCATTCCAAATAGGCCTATAACTTTTATTTATTTATTTAATGTAATATATGTTCTTGTCTATAACTGTTCTGTACTTTGTCATGTATTTGTATGTTTTATGTGGACCCCAGCAAGAGTAGCTGCTGCATCACCATTTCTTTATCTGTTCTCCATTTGTGTTCTCTTACTCCACACAACTCTTTCAATCTCACACTTCTTCCACTCCACTCTTACACCCACTATAGGGTCTGGTAGACATCCAGGCAGTAAAAAGCTGAATTCTCTCCTTCATCTTCAAACATCTCATTGTTTCTCCTTTGGTCCCTCTCCAAAACTGCAGTATGTGTCATATATGTCTCTATGAGAGATTGTATTCATCCTGATTGAGGGATTAGCTGTTAGATGGTAACATTAGTGACATACAGATGTAGGATCTGGATGATTGTGTCATTGTAAAATAATGATTTAGAGACTATCAGCTTTTCGAAAGCCTATTAGAGAGGCTTATGTTGTAAAATTGTCTCACAGAGCGTGAGAAAGAGAGAGAGTGTGTGTGTGTGTGTGTGTGTGTGTGTGTACAGTGCCTTCATAAAGTATTCACACCACTCAACGTTTTCCAGATTTTGTTGTGTTAAAGCCTGAATTTAAAATGGATTACATTGAGATTGTTTTGTCACTGGCCTATACACAATACCCCATAATGTCAAAGTTGAATTATGTCAATAAGTATTCAACCACTTTGTTATGGCAAGCCTGAATCAATTCAGGAGTAAAAATGTGCTTAAAAAGTCACATAAACTTAATGGACTCACTCTGTGTTCAATAACAGTGTTTAACATGATTTTGAATGACTTCTTCATCTCTGTGCCACACACATACAATTATCTGTAAGGTCCCTTAGTCGAGTAGTGAATTTCAAACACAGATTCAACCACAAAGATCAGGGAGGTTTTCCAATGCCTCGCAAAGAAGAGCACCTATTGGTAGATGGGTAAACATTTTTAAAAAGCAGACACTGAATATCCCTTTGAGCATGGTGAAGATATTAACTACACTTTGGATGGTGTATCAATACACCTAGTCACTACAAAGATACAGGCGTCCTTCCTAACTCAGTTGCCGGAGAGGAAGGAAACCGCTCAGGGATTTCACCATGAGGCCAAAGGTGACTTTAAAACAGTTACAGAGTTTAATGGCTGTGATAGGAGAAAACTGAGGAAGGATCAACAACATTGTAGTTACTCCACAATACTAACCTAAATGACAGAGTGAAAAGAATAAAGCCTGTACATAATTCAAATATTCCAAAACATGCATCCTGTTTGCAATAAGGCCCTAAAGTAAAACTGAATGAAAAATTGGCAAAAAAATTAACTTCATGTCCTGACTACAAAGCATTATGTTTGGGGCAAATCCAATACAACACATCACTGAGTACCACTCTTCATATTTTCAAGCATGGTGATGGCTGCATCATGTTATGGGTATGGTTGTCATCGGCAAGGGAGTTTTTTCGAATGCCTCCGTGCCTTTGAAATGGAACAGAGCTAAGCACAGGCAAAATCCTAGAGGAAAACCTGGTTCATTCTGTTTTCCAACATACACAGGGAGGCAAATTCACCTTTCAGCAGGACAATAACCTAAAACAAAAGTCAAAATATACACTGGAGTTGCTTACCAAGATGACATTGAATGTTCCTGAGTGGCCTAGTTATAGTTTTGACTTAAATTGGCATGAAAATATATGGCAAGACTTGAACATGGCTGTCTAGCAATGATCAACAACCAACTTGACAGAGCTTGAAGAATTAAAAAAAGAATAATGTGCAAATATTGTACAATCCAGGTGTGCAGCTGTTAGAGACTTACCCAGAAAGACTCACAGCTGTAATAGCTGCCAAAGGTCATTCTAACGTATTGACGCACGGGCGTGAATAGTTCTGTTTTTCATTTTTAATAAATTTGCCAACATTTCCAAAAATATGTTTTCACTTTGTCATTATGGGGTATTGTGTGTAGATGGGTGAGAAAAATATATATTTAATCCATTTTGAATTCAGGCTGTAAGACAACAAAATGTGGAATAAGTCAAGGGGTATAAATACTTTCTGAAAGTGTGTGTGTGTGCTATCTGTAATCAGTTTTTGTGTGCAAATTGGATGATATGGACATTCAGATCAAGAAATTGAATGAGAATGGAGAGTGGACGGAGTATGCAAATCAATCAGACTATGGGGTTGCTTTGGTGTTACTGCAAAGTAAACAAACATCGCTAAAACACCAGACATATGTTGGGATGTGTTTTGGCAAATGTGGATTGTTTATTAATTTGTTTAGAATTCTGCTAGTTTTGTTGTAAATCTAATCATGTATTTTGATTCATTTTAGCTCATGGAGATGAGAGCTGAAAGGGTTAAACAGGATGGGAGAGAGGGCTATAAACCATGTTGAAAGCTGCACTATAAAGAGCCATCTATAGAGCCTCTTTCCACTACACTACTTGACGACACAAACTTGGTCTAGGAGACATACTTGTGTAGTGTAAAGAGACGGAGCTAGATTCAAATATCTCTTTAAGAGATGTCTCCCACACTATCTCCCACTCTACCTCCGGAGGTAGTGTTGGAGACATCTACACCACATACCCCCTCTCTGAGTGGTACAGTGTAAAGACAAAGGCTCTCCCACACCACTTGTCCATGGAATACTTATCTTAATTATCTTAATACCAGTAGACAGCATTTTTGCTCTGTTAGCAAAATTGAAAATGAAAGGCTTTTAAAATATCCACACATTTGTGAATCCTTGCATTAATCAATTATGCAACACTATGTGCAATATTGTTTAGATGAGAAGCTCCTACATAGTTTGAATTGCTATCCTTATTTTGTTTGTCTATATACTATGGTATTTACAGTATGCTAATAGCTGCACTCACACATGAAGCAGGAATATGGTTTTGGCCACACCACATTCAAGGCCCTCTGTAGCTCAGCTGGTAGAGCACAGCGCTTGTAACGCCAAGGTAGTGGGTTCGATCCCCGGGACCACCCATACACAAAAAATGTATGCACGCATGACTGTAAGTCGCTTTGGATAAAAGCGTCTGCTAAATGGCATATTATTATTATAAGGCTATTGTAAGCAGAAAAGTTACAAATCTGATGTTGAAGACATATTTTACTAATGTAAATCCACCCTATATTTGTCTGCTCATTTACAGATGTAGGATCTTAATTTGAGCCAGTTTGCTACAGCAGGAAAATAATCCTGCAGCAACAGGAAATGTTAATTATTATGTGGATTATAATTAATGACATTTTTAGTAAGTGGTTGATGCTTTTTTTGTAAGGGTAAATCAAGTCTGAAATTTCGAAGTGGAAATTACAAACTTCAGAAGCATCTTTGAAACTCAAATACACTTCAAGTATTACATGTCCTGCATTGCAGGAATGTTCTCCTGCAACAGGGTGATCAAATTAAGATCCTACATATGTACGCTTGAAATG